AATACATGTCTCATCTGACTCCATATGAGTGGCATTTTTATTTTTCAAAAAGAAATGGAGGAATAGCAATGTAGAACTATAAACATGACATGCTTGCATCTTTGTCGCTATAAACATGTTAAGCCACTCCAGGGAAAGATTACAATTTTCAGTCTCAGCTCTTTTCACTTGGAAGCCCTGCCCATCTCTTAATAAGCCATTTGCTTTCAAATGTTTTATCTACATGGAACCCAATTGCTACATCAGCTGACTGGGTGGAAAACTGCTCCCTGTTAAATCAGTTCAAACTGCATGTTGATAGTGGGTAAAGCCCTAAGCCAAAATGAGTGTGTCCTCTTCCTCTTTCTTGATTTGGTACCCATTTACCTCTTTCTCATCCTGATTTTTCTTTCTCTTCTTGTCTTGTTCTCCACCTAGTAGGCTTTGAGAGAGAAACATATCATTGGCCAGAGGTCTGAGCCAATCTCTTGCAGAGGACATTTGCGATTTGGCTGAAGGCTGTAAATTGCTTGCCTACCCTTAGTTCATTAAATGAAACCTACTATTGTTGGTTTTGGAACTGCTTCTTAGTATATTTAAGTAGATGGTAGTCCTACTGATCTTGGCTAAATACAGTATTCCTTGCAGAGTTTCTCCACAGTTTTAGAATGATGCATTTAAAGGCACAAATAGCTTTGACTGCTTTTTCTCTACCCCTAATTTGGGATCAGAACTGAAAATGACTGAAAGAGATCCCTAATGTAGTGAATTCCTTAGTGGAAATTAATGCAACTGTTGTTTTTTTTAACGCAGTCTATAAAATGAAAAAATCTAGAATACTGTATGTATCTACTAGAAAAAACAGCATCTACGAGACAACCATTTCCCTGATATAGCTGTACTTTGTTTTCTTTTAACGTAACATTTGCATGTGAAAAGACGACCCATTCCCCACCATCGTGGTTCATGCCATCATGAGACTTCCTGAAGACACCACTTTGCTCCTTCTTGGTCTATTCCCCTAGCTCATTTGGAGCTTCCAGGCAAGGAGACATTCTTGCAAGGGGCTGGAATGCCAGGAACTCTCATCCAGAGCTGCTGAACTGATACTGATCAGCCAGCAACACATTAATGGTTTCTATAGAGATACAGAAATGGCCCTAGGTTCAATACATTGTGGACACCCCCACTCCGCTCGATGTCTTAAAGCCGTTGTCAATCAGTATACTGTCAACAATACTGAGCTACATAGTCTGGTGTAGCATAATGCAGCTTCTTATATTCTTATAACAGTAAAATCATGTAGGTATTAATTTGTATGCCATCCCATTTATAGGAATAACTCTTGCATTGCAAAGATCTTGATATGACATACATTTAGAAATATAACCCCTGGCATACATAATGCATACGTTGTCCACTTCTGAAACACAATCAGTTGTTACATGAGCCAAGATGGTTCTGTATATTTGTGTTTATCCAAGTGATCTGTGCACATTCAGTACCTATTTAACAGAAAGGTGAAGTTGTACTGATTAATTTCTGGAAGCAACATCAGCCTTCTGATATTGGGAAGCATGTTCTCACATTAAAGGCATCACCTAAAATTGTACAATGAACAAACAAAGCAAAAACAGGTTTTACAAGTCTTTACCAGGAAAGGAACTTACTGTATTTGAGAGAAATGGTGACCCGATCTTTGGGAATAGTGTCATATCCTCTTCTAGTGTTGTGCTGATATAATAAAAGATCACAACACATAAAGCTTTTCTTTACTTGTTTCTGTCCAGAAGTAACAGTTGCCTTGCCTTGTTAATAATTTTCCACCTTTTCCACAAATTAATTTAACTGTCTTTATACTTTGTTTTTTTTTATGTTTGGTCTTGGACTATTTGATCTTCATTTAATTGCTGATGTTGGTTAGAATTAATCTTGCAGCAAAATATACGAATACTTATTTGGACTTTGGCACAGTTCAATATTCTGCTATCAGCAAAACCCAAAAAAAGAAAAATAAATGAAATTGTGCAATCCAGTGTTTTTTTAAGCTATTAAAATATTTGGAAAGGAGCTATTATTTAAGCTATTAAAATATTATTTAAGCTATTAAATATTAAAATATTAAGAATATTTAAATATTAAATATTATTTAAGCTATTAAAATATTTGGAAAGGAGGAGAAAAGAACACACTTCACTGAGAGGGACTTCCTCTCCCTCTCAATATAAATGTAAAAGGATATAAATATAAATGTAAAAGGAAGGAATTCAAGTGGTTTTATTAGATTAAGTTTATAATAGATATGTGGTTATTTCTGGTAACCCTTAATGGACTTTTGCTGATTAGGATGGATGATGAGGCTTTAAAGATTTGTTTATAGAGAATGAGGTGAAATATAGAGTGAAGAGATTGCTTTATTTCAAGAGATGGTGATAAGTTGTTAAAGTTGTTTATACTTGCTGGGAAGTTCCTTTTTTTTTCTTTTTTTCTTTTTTTCCTTTTTCTACACTTTTTACTGTTTCTTCTTTACCTTTTATAGTTTGTATTAGTTTTATCTGTATAATGTAATTTTAGGCTTCCTCGCCTTCCTGATCCTGTGAATAAAGAAACATTTCACAAACCTTTCATATGCAGTATATGAAAGGATATAGTGTAAGGGCATAACTTCTGTCATAATTCATAGGCTGCCACTGCTATGTTGTACATAATGGTTCAGTGACAGAACAAGATGTGACCTTGGAAAATGTGATGTCTTGCTACATTCTGTCAGTGACTTTGATATTCAGGATATTACCCCTACAGAACAACATTGCTGGTGAATATTGGTCACTCCTGATGTAGATCTTATTGCCTTTGTTTCCTGAGAAGATCATGCCACCAGCACATGATTCTTCACACCAGCTGTAGAACAGGGCAAATCATCAGACTGCTTATTAGGCAACAGGCTCAGCTTAATCTGATGACCATTGCTTTTTATAGTGATTATGGCTTTGTTATGGAAGATAAAACATTCTTGCCATCACTTGGATAAAAATTTCTGGCAGCGCTTGCAAATATTTGAGGCAAACATATGGACTGTCAAACACTGAAATAGAGTTGTACTGTAATGGGGTTCAGTGGTGCAGCTGGGACTGTGGTCTTAAGGGACTGATGTTAGATGGTCACACACTTCACTCTTTAGATGGTCACACACTACCTGCATATCCAAGCCAACCCAAGTGCTGACATAAGGCCACTGTGCCCCTGCCACAGCCATCATAATAATGCATCCCCTTTGCATACCTTAGTATAATTTGCTACCCTAGATGACCATTTCAGCCTAAGTCCCAGTCCTAAAGACATTACTGTCTTGACTGTGTGCAATATAAATTCATGCTAAAGTTGGAAGAGTAAGAACCTTGACTCAAAAGCAGCCAATCTGCTAGTTCAACGTCAAATGTACTTGACACAATTGGCTTGGAATATGATGGTCTGAGTTCAGGGGAAAAAATTGAGAATATACTTTCTAAGGTCAGTAAGTGATTTAAGAATATCAGGGCTCCATTATTATAAGAGCAGGAAATGTAAAAGGTATTTTTTAAAAAAATAGTATTTTCCCATTAATCCTATTATTCACTGATAGCTATTCACTGAAAGATGCTGTGGTGATTACCTTGATTAATTATCTTGTTTCACATTTACAACTGGTGCTATTTTGTTGAAAATTATATTAAATTTTCACTAATGAATTAAATCATGATATGTAAGCTCATTGTTCTTGTTGCTTTTATAGATCCTAGTTTTCTGTATGTTCCCTGTTTCTAATATTGCCATTCTTTTCCTATAAAAACAGACTCAGCCATCATGCAACTATATGTTTGTAATATCAGTGTACATGCTGCCCATCCTCCTTTAATTAATTTAAAATAAGATATATAACATCTGCAACCAACTATGAGTATTTATGTTGATAGACAAAGAAAAGGATGGGTACACTTCAGAAATATTAAGCCCACAAATTAGGCCAAGAGCATGGAAGCGATTGCAGAAGACTCCAACTGGCCAGTAGGCCCGAAATATTTTATGTATATGTGGGTCCTTGTTTCATTTTGTAGAAATGAAAATAATTTCTAACCCCATGCTTCCTCTAAGTTGTTGGTTATAGGAGAAGTATGATTTTTGGTGGCCAGCTCTCTTTTGGAGAAGTTTATTTTATTTATTCTTATTTTTATTATTCTTATTAATATTATCTACCAATCTTCCCACTGAGGAACCACTTTGTAGTTTTCAGAGTAACTCAGGATCTCCTGGAACAGTTTGGAAAATCAATGCCCTAAATTGCTAGGGGAAAAGCTATGTTGGACAAGTCAGTTTCTTGATGTATGCCCTGTCTGAGTCAGTCTTTCAGATGGGCTGCTAAGCCTTTGGTAGGCCTTTGGCCCATATCAGAATGATTCACTATGTCTATTTTTTTACTCAGTGGCAGGTTTTCTCATTGCACATGCCTGCACAGCACCATAAGGTGGCGAGAGCTAGATACCAATAATATCCACAGCAGAGATATACAAAACAAGTGAAAGTACAATGGCAATGTCAGAATATTAGTTCGTTACCAGTTCAGTTTCCAACAAGGACAAAGTGGAGCAGCCTCTGAACTGCAGATGCAAATGGCAATTTGATCAGGACCATGACAGGAACGAAAAGGGTTATTCAATCTCTCTTGTTTTCTCCACTCTCTGCAATTCCTCTAATGTTCTTTTAAAAAAGAAACATACATGGTAACTGTGTTCAGGTAGTTAATGCCATATCTAATTTGGCCATTAGTTACTGGAATGAAGGAGAGTCTGTAAGGGCAGAGAGTTGTCTTATCTCCAGGGTGGGCATATACATATATACGGAGGAGGGTAAGGTTACCAGACAGGTTCCTCTATCTCTTTTCTGCCAGGTAATGTCTGACCTAGGGAAGGGGACAGGGAAGAGTCTATTGTATAATCAATGTGCCACGGAGCTTCTTTGTCTAATAGAAATATTGTTTCAAACAGATACAAATTTTGTCCTGGGTAATGCCCAGATAGTGGATTGGCCTATTGTATACAGCAACGATGGATTCTGCAAGCTCTCAGGATACCACCGAGCAGAAGTTATGCAAAAGAGCAGCACCTGCAGGTATTTCAGTGCAGGCCTCTGTTAAATATTTCTGTAAAGTAACGGGTAATGTTCCTATGTTCTTGCTCAAGCAAAATGAGTCCCTTGGAGTTTAAACTGCAGAATGGGCACTGTCAAGATCAGGGAGGGAAAGGCATTCTGGATCCTTCCCATTGTCCAAGAAGCTTGCATATAAGGTGTTCCCATCTAAAACAAATTGTGTGTGTGCCTTCAAGTCAGTCTTGACTCCTGGCGACTGCCTGGACAAGTCCCTGTAGTTTCTCGGCAAGGTTTTTGGAAGTGGTTTGCCATTGCTTTCTTCCTAGGGCTGAGAGAGAGTGAATGGCCCAAGGCAGGACTAGAACTCATGCCCTCACAGTTTCTAGCCTGGTGTCTTAACCATTACACCAAACTGGCTCTCAGAGCAAATTGGGGTAAGATTTCACCTCTCAGCCAGAGTTTTGTAGCAAGCTACAGGGCGGAGCTAAGATTTGGATCCAAATTTTCTTAAGATGCAACCTACAATGTTTCCTGATTTCCCACTAGTAAGTCATGCTCGTAACCCAACCTAGTGCCCATCATATATTAAATCACAACCCTGTACACTACCAGTCTTCATGGCTAATACTGTATGTGTTGTAAGGTTCTTACTGTGAACGTTGAGGTTATTCAGACAAACCTCTGACCTAGTGCTCTGAATAGAATCGTCATACTTGCTTCTTTCTTTCTTTACTGTGAGAATGAACGCAGCCTCCAAGTATCAAATTGTACACTTACAATTAATTCCTACTTTAAAGAATATTGAGGAACTGATTATGCAATTTTGGTTTTACATTCTTATACTTTGTAAGAAATAGCACCAAAAATGCCACATGCATGCTCACATGCCCTCTAAATCACATTTTCCCCTTCCCTTCAGTTTGCTGCACAGCCCTATTGTTCAATCTAGCCCTTTACCAACTGGATTCAGAGTCCACAATGGGTTTGTTAATATAAAAAAGTAAAGTTTTCTGCAACTTGCTTCGCAGTGTCTTCATGGACACATTCATGTTGTTTTCTTGGCAAAAGTCTGGAGCTGGTTTGCTTTTGCTTTCTTCCAAGATACTTTTTCAACTACCCAGACAGGTCTATGGCTGTGGGACGTCTAGATGGTTTCTCATCAAAGTACTAACCATACTGAATCTGCTTTCACTTTCTGAGGTCAGCTAAGGTTATCTAGGTGCTGCCACTGTCAGAGCTCTAAAACAAATTTTCTGGGAAAAGAGGAAGTGGGATCTTTGCTATACTTGAAGAGACAGTGCAGACTTAATTCCCTGTATCTAAATAAAACACAGTATGAAATTGCCGTGCTAAACTCTCTGCCCTAGATTGATTCCTCATTTCTTTGATTCTGTCCCACCCTTCACCACAGTGGTAATTTAGCACTATTAAGCAAACAACCACTGAATATCCCTTTTTGCACCAATCAGGTCTTTGTCCTTTCTCTTGCTATAAACTTAATGTAGTTTTATAGCATGTTAATTGCCATTACTTGTTGCCAAGAATCCTGGGTATTACACTTTAGGGAACTGCTAACAATCCTCTATTCAAGCATAGTCTCTTTTCTTAATAATGCAATTCCTTAGTTCCCTGAGAAGAAATACTCCTAAGGAGTGCACGTGCAACTGCGAATACACATGCAGAGAAATGGCCCAGTAAAAAGAAGCACAAAATATCTAAGAGCCAATATTTATTGTGAAATTCTCACAGTATGGCGGGTTTCAAAGAGAAGTCCCTTCTTCCAATTCAGCTGTATCCAAAGACACCCAAGCAGACGTCTACTCACAGAATGGGATTTCATCATGCTGCTCTTCCCTCTATACCATCCACATCTCCTCTGAAATGTCCTCCAACCTCTGGAATAGATTTGGGGAGTTACAGGGGAAAAGGAGAATTGGTCCCACCAGCAGGAGGTTGTTTAGTAGCAGACAAATATCACTTGATATCCTCACTTACAAACAACTGTTGTTATTATGGTTCTTACATTTTTTTTTTTTAATAATTTCTGAGCAAGGTTTGTAAACCGCTCAGTGCCAATTGCTGATTGGAGTGGCATATAAGACAAACCAACCAACCCTATTCTCTATGAAAGTGAGTTCAGTAAGATTACTTTAAGAGCACTTAAGCAAATTTAAGGATGTTGTGCCATGAGGTCTTGCTTGTGATTCTCATCTGTCTTGTTCATTTCCTTGCAGTTTCATGTATGGAGAACTGACAGATAAAGACACAATTGATAAAGTTCGGCAAACATTTGAGAACTATGAGGTGAACTCCTTTGAAATCTTGATGTACAAGAAAAATAGTAAGTTAACTTTCTGGCTTCCTTTTAAACAGTGTACCTTGAAATGTGTTTTGCCACTGTTATAGGAATGGCTCCATACGTATTTCTCTCCCTGCCCATTTTTCATGAATAGCTTTCCAGTGACATGTGCGGTTCTGTTCTGTCAAGGCCACAGAAAACAGCCAGGTTATATTGGAATGACTTTTGCAATGTTACCTAGACCTTTCCTACTTTTCACTCCAAGATCAATACATTTTACTTATGGTACCCCCTTCATACCCAATAATAAACTAGAAAATGGAGTAACATTTGTAAGGTGTATGCTAAGACCTGTGCTACCTGGAACTTGGAAATTCCATAATAATAATATTTGCCAACAGCTTTTTCTTTGGGAAAAAGATTTATAAAGCAAATACTTCTTTCCACCAAGGAAGTGGCTTAATCATTCATTCCTCATGCTAATTCTCTAATATACATACATAATCTCATTATGCTGTTCATTATGTATGTTCATACATACTCATTCTGCACCTGCCTGCTTCCCCCCCTTTGGCCAGTGGAGATATCAAAGAAACTTGCCATGGAAGCAGTTTTGCCAGAGGGTCCTGTGGTGGCATAAACTCCAGTTGTTTAGCATCTATCTTCTTCCAGTTAAAAATCTGCACAAAAAGCCACTTTTTTTTTTTATGAAGGATGCATTTGGAAAAAGCATCCTTTTTTATATGTTTTTGAAAATTGTGCTGCATTATGTAAAAAAAAAAGAGCTTACATGTGTATATGTATATTTTAAATGCTTACATCAGAGAAATTTCTGTAGCAAATGGCATTAGAACAATTCATGTAAAATCAAAGATATCTTGAGGGATTTACACTGATAACTAAATACATTAGGAAAATGTATGTTATGTTCAAAAAAGTTACAAATGAAAATAGATAAGGATCTTTTTTTATGGGTCTTTTTAAAAAAACAACAACATAAAAATGGACTGGAATATTGCCCATAATACAGACTGTTAAATTGTCTGGATTTACCTTGATCCCTGATGGCTAACAACAACTTCAGAAAAACAATTTCCATTTGGAATTTGTCATGAAGAAAAAAAAATAGTTGATTCCATTCCTCCTAAAATCCCGAATTTACCTTTTGCTAAGAACAAGAACCAGAGAATCCAGGTCTGTTGTGCTTCTTTAATTTTCTCCATGAACTGATAACAGAGTTGATCATTTCCATGGTTGTTTATTTTAACAGAAGGCTTATCCTCACAGGCAAGTTGTCTTTCACAGTAGTGTAACTACTGTTTCTGATCTTTTGAGTGAATAATCCTAGAGAAACTTCCAGAGGTTCCTGGCATTTGCTGGCACAAGGGCTACAAGTTAAAAAAAAAACTACTAAGGGATAGAAAGAATGATTGCACATCAGCTTTCCAACTTAATTAGTCTTTGGCTTCCCTGCAGAGATTGCCATAAAGTCCCAGCTGTGATGTACTTATGTGAGGAACTCCAAAACAATTTACATATGGCACTGACTGGCACTGGCAATTTGGGTGCCCTGTTAGATTTGCTTGTCAGTTTTCAAAGGCTCAGCACAACTCTTATAAGAACCATGGAAAGACTCAGCATTGTATCATTGTATCTTTGCTTTTGTTGTCATCTTTTATTTAACTTCAGCTTTTCCCCTTCTAGCCTATCAGGTTATAGCAAGAGATGTTGCCAACTGTGAGACAGGATTCTGGTTGCAACAGTCCTATAGCACAAACTTGTTCCGTGTCAGTCTGTAAGAAAGTCCAGGATCAAGAGAAGGGTTCATTAGTACTCTACAGTAATCCTCCACATCACAGTAAGCATGAGAAGCTGCTATAAACTAAACTGGATCAAGAGAATGTGGGTTATATCCAGATCAGAAGCATAACAAAATCATCATAATCATTATCACATTAAAAGTGGTCTGTTGGAGCACACCAAAGATATATCTAATTCCATATTATTTTGCTATGTTGGTCAACCAGACTCTCAGTAGCTGCACAGAAACACAGACATCCTTCTGATCATATTTCCTCACAATTGATGTCATTAACTAGAAGTCTATGGCTTCTAGTGGGGGTAAGTTGTAGCCATCCCAAATAGCAATCATTGATATCCTTCTGCTCTATCAACCTGTCTAATAAAATTTTCAATCTATCCAAGTTGGTGACTATCACACATCTTAGAGTAAAAAAAATTAGTTATGTGGAAATACTTCCTTTTATCTGAATTGCTTCTCCTACTGTTCAGTTTTATCAGAAGATGCCAAGTTGTGGTATTTCCCCCCCCCCACACACACACATACATAGTTTTTAATCCACTACCATTTAGAGTTAGAGACAGTGTGGTACAGTGGATAAGGCAGGGGTATGTACGGTTATAGTTTTTCTTGTTGGGCTTTGCATGGTGTGTTACAAATGCTGAAAAGTGGGTGGAGCCAAAACAAAGAATAGATTAGGCCAGGACAAAAGTTTCTGTTGAAACTGAAGTTTAACATAAAATAAAAGTAAATGCAATTAATTACTTCCCATGCATTTAAGAATTTTCCTATTCCATCATATTAAAAATTGCATTTTAGTGGCAGCTTTTGGAAGGGCTTTGGGCTTAACAACAGGTTTCAACATTTTGGTTGGTTGGGGAAATGAGTCCCAATACATACAGGTAGTCCTCAACTTATGACCATTAGTTCAGCAACCATTTGAAGTTACGATGATGCTGAAAAAATAGACTTAATAACTGGTCCCCAAAATTATGGCCATTGCAGCACCCCCCCTGGTCATGTGATCAAAATTCAAACACTTGGCAGCCCACCCACACTTACAACTACAGGGGTGCTTCACCTCCCCTCACCTGCCTATCTCATGTCCCATCTCTGCCCTTTTGGCCACCCTGCATTCTGCCTTGTGGAGTGGCAAGCAACCCCAGAACTGCATGGCTCTGGGGCTGCTTGCCACACTGTGGCTCAAGGGCTTCTTGGTGCCCTGCAGCCCCTGAGCCTCAGTGCCGCGTGAAACCTCAGCTGGCCCAGCCCGCCCCAGCAAGTGCCAGGAAGCATTCATTCGCCCGGCTGCCTTCTCTCCCAGTTCCTCGCACCGACCTTTCACCCGTTGTGCCCAGCCATTGTGGCTGAAGCAGAAGCCCCTTGAGCCTTTGGAAAGCTGTGCTGTCTTTGGAAAACCTTTGGAAAAACCGTGTAGCTTTCTGAAGGCTTTTTGATTGGGTGAAACACTTCCGGCCTTCCCCATTGGCTGGCATTCTTATTTGTGCTGCGTTGCTGGGCCAGGCTAGGGAGCCATGTGTAGGAAACGTTCACTGGAGAAGCTGGGTCTGAAAAGGAGACAGCAAAGACAGTGAGGCACTTCTGCTTTGGCCATGGCAGCTGGCCACAAAAGGTGAAAGGTTTGTTGCAGGGAACTGGGAGAGAAGGCAGCTGGGTGAACAAATGCTTGCTGGCACTTGCTGGGGTGGGCTGGGGTGGCTGAGGCTTCCAGGGGTGGCTGTGGTTCAGGGGCTTCCAAGGTGCTGCACTGTGGCTCAGGGGCTTCTTGCAGCCCCAGAACTGCAGTGTGTCAAGAAGCCCCGAGTCGCAGTGTGGCAAACAGCCCCAGAGCCATGCTTGCAGCCTGATAAGGCAGGGTGCAGGGCAGCCAAAAGGCAGAGATGGGGGGGGGGAGATAGGTGGTGGAG